AGACAAAAAAGAAAGGTTATGTTTTGGCAAGAAAGAAAGGGCATTATGGTTCAATACTTTTACTTAACTAACCTTTAAGTATGCAATTAACATTTAAAGGAAATAAAGTTTTGGGAGCCTTATAAAGTTTTAAAGTCTATGGTCTGTTAAGAGAAATTCCTTCAGAGAGCACTGACAGTTATCAGAAAGTGAATTTGTGATTGCATAAAAGATGAAATAAAAATCTTCTCACAGGGTGATATAGTTACTGCTTCCTCCTTTGTTGTTTTCTACATGCTTGTCAACTCATTGACATTTTCTAGGATGAAACTTTCATGCTGACCCAGAATTTATCTTTTGAATATACTCTGAAGTATATGGGGGGAAAAAGATGCTCGGTAGTAAGTGGCAACAGGAAGAGGGAGCAATAGAAGGGGTTATGCTTTGAAACTTTACAGGAAACTCACAGTGTGTCACAATCTATTGTATTCAAAAATTTATGGTTTCTCGCTTCTGTTTCTATGAATAGCTTTTCACTTTACAGCGTGTGTACAGGGTATCTGAACTATCAACTCACCTTTGCAATTTATTTAGAGAACAGAAGCAGTTGTAATGTCAATGAAGCGCTAAATTGAAGCCCTGTTTTAATTTTTTTTACAATAGAGGCCTTACATAATATGAATGTTAAAATACCAGCCTGATCTGTGTCTGTTTGCCTGTGTTTTCCTTGCTTTTGTTCCTAGCTCCTATGCAAGACCCCAGCTCTTTTTAGAAGCCCTTATGTTATGTGTTTCTAGGGAGTTCAGGGAATTGGCTTGCACATTCTACAAATAAATTTTTTCAGCCTCCATGTAGCAGCTGCAGGTAATTTTCTTAGTTTTCTGTTTGAACTCCTCCCGTTGGGATAACTGTGTCTGGGCGAGGGAGAGAATTTCCCATGGGCCACAGCTGGTGGTATACTAAAGATTTGTAGTTGTCAAGGTTGTGGGCTGTTCAGTGGAACTATAGAAGATGTCTTCCTCTTTCCTATGTTTGTTTGTTTGTGTTGAAATAAAATCCAGGGCCTCATGCATGCTAGGCAGGTACTCTGCCACTGAGTTACGCCTCAGCCCCTTTCCTTTTTTTAATGTACTTGATTAGATAGCCAGATCCTGGAGACACATTCAGGAAATAAACAGTATCATGCACCCAGAATCAGCTCAGCCCTTTCCAAATTGCAGGCTTTCTTTCTGGACTTTGCCTGTTTGCTTGTTACTGGCTTCCCTTACTTTAGAGATTTCTCTCCAAGGAGGCCCCTTAGACATCCACACAAATATACTTCAGGCTGATTCATAAGAGCGTATGCAGCAGGCGCAGCTGTGCCTGAAACCCCTACATTTTTTTCCCCCATTTTCTCTCTCGATATACTTTTGGTGAGTTAGGTGAAAAAGATTGGAGGCAAGTGAATATTACTATATCTCTCCTCTGTGTCTTCTTACCTTCCTATTCTCTTCAAAATTTTGTGGGCAAAAAATATATTATTTCCTCAATTTTATATGAGTTTACCATGTATATGAAACAATAAGATTTTAAAGCATTGACTACAATGACTACTTTCAACATGGGTTATACAAGTACTGAACTCAAGTACTGAAACAATATGTACTAAAATAGTAATTTGCATCTGCCACACATTTGAGAAAGTGTGTTTCATTCTAATCATTATATGGGAATAGAACCTACTAAGCACTGGTGGTTTCATAAGCTTATAATTATAATATGGTATCCAGAGTTAGGCTGTGTCCAAGTCCACTGAATGCGTGAAAGGTTTCATATAAACAGAGAAAGAGATAATGTTCCACCTCCCACTGTTGGAGCTTACGTTCAGAAGATGAGTTAACAGGTTATCTGTAGCTAAAAGTGAAATAAAATAACAGACTATTTCACATTCTGAGCTCAAATTCTATTTTAGGCTCAATTCATTCTGGAGCACTTATTTTCACAGTTAAAACTTTAAGAACAGTTAAAATATGCAGTTTTAAATGTACTCAATTGAATTTTCATAATTTTAATACTGTTCTCAATCTTTATAATGTAGTTTTATTGTAGTGAAAATTACTCATATTTCCAAAGTGATCCTTTCTTTCTTTTAAAATACTTTACAAAAAACACACTAACAGAAGCATTTTAAAAGTTGAGTAATTTCCATGCGTCAAAAATATTTTGGAACAATGAAAGTAATGCCTTGTAAAATAATTTTTTATTTTATAAGACAAAATATTAATCAAACAAAATATGGGTGTGCTTCATGTCATTTCAACGTGTGTATATGTAGTTCTATCCATATCTATTTATTTGAAGTCAGAGAGCACAGTACTGTCACATTTGAGTCTTATTGGTTGGATATTGGGTGCCATTGCTGTTCTAGAATTTAACAGGAGACAGAAGTAAGTGGGAGGAGAGAAAAGATACATCTGCAAAATAAAAGGTCACTTACAATGGGCTACGAGACACTTTTTTCTGAAGAACTTATGCTCCCTTTTACTTAACCTAGTTAAATTGTTAATGTAGAAAATAAAAAGCATAAAACTTACCATTACCCATTTTAAAGTGTATAAATAAGTGGCATTAAGTATGTCTATGTTGTTGGGGCTGGGGATTTAGCTCAGCGGCAAAAGCGCCTGCCTGGCAAGCGCAAGGTTGTGAGTTAGCTCCCGGTACCGGAGAAAAACCAAAAAAAAAAAAAAAAAAAAAGTATGTCTATGTTGTTTTGCAATCATTGCCATCAGCATTATTTCCAGAGCTTTATCCATTCCCAAAGATCTTTGTACCTGGTGAGGAATAACTCTATACCCTTCTTCCCCACCTCCTGGTTACCTCTGTAGTCTCACTAAGAATTTATCTATTCTAGATACTTCACATAAATGGAATGATGTGATGTTTGCATGTTTGTGTCTGTCTTATCTCACTAAGCAAAATATTTTCAAGGTTTATTCTTATTGTGGCATGTATCAAGTCTTCATTTGTTCATTACAAATAATAATCTTATTCAAGATTCAGTTGTACCTACATGCCACATTGTTTCAGTTCATCTGTTGATTGGGTTTTTCCACCTTCTGAACATTGACTAATAATGCTATGGACATTTGTGTGCAGTATGTGTTTTTAGTTCCTTTGTGTATATACCTGAGTGTATTAGTCATGGTTCTCCAGTGAAACAGAAGCATAGCATATACATATAAAGTGACTTACTATGAGGAATTATATATTTCAGTAGCGTATAAGCATGAACAGACTTACTATGAGGAATAGGCTCAGTCCAATAGAGAGTTTTAGAAGTCCCATCTTCTGCCACTTCCAAACTAGAGACCAAGGAAAACCACTGGTATACTCTCAGTTCAAGTTCAAGGGGAGTTTATGGTGTAAATTCAAGTCTAAGGAAAGGAGACTATTTTACTTCTCCCTTACAGACTGTAAAGTTTTACTTCATATTTAGAGGACTGGTTCTAGGTGGGCATGTTTTATAGTCATTATACCTTTGTAATGGATTAAATGTCCTTTAATAATGTTTCTCATTACTTTTTTATTAACATACAGCCTTTTTTTCCCTCAAAAATATGGAAACCTCACCTACCCTTTGCTATTTATTACATGGAATATCTTTTCCACCCCCTCCACACATACTTTTCGTGTCTTTTGATCTAAAGTGAATGTTTTATACAGGTCATATAGATGGATCATTTTGTAATTCATTCATATAGATGGATCATTTTGTAATTCTATAAAGGGAACTCTTTTATAGAAATTAATCCATTTATAAGTAAATCATTTATGAGTAATGGCTTTTGTTGAAATGTAGCTATTTTCTATATGTCTTAAATTTTTTGTTGCTTGTTTTCTCCAGTACTGTGTTCTCTTCTGTATTCAGTTATATTTTTAATGTACCACATTTATTCCACTTTTTATGATTTCAGTTATTCGCTTAGTTTTTACCTTGGAAATTACTTAAAAAATGTAGTTCTAATGATGTCACCTTGATTTCAGTAGCATACAATCACTCTTCCTGTCCATTTCTGTCTGAAGTCTTTATTTTTATTTTCACAGATTATCTTTTTACCTTAAACAGTCATTAAAATAGATTAACAGTTATACCTGTGTACATTTGCCTTTTCTGTGGTGATGGTAGTGGCGATGGTGGTACTGGAGATTAAGCATGGGGCCTTTTCACTGAGCTACATCCCCAGTCCTATTTATATTTTGAGACTGGGCCTTGCTGAGTTGCTAAGTTCTCCAGGCTGGACTCAAACTTTCTATCCATCTGCCTCAGCCTCCCACCATAGTGAGATTCTAGTGAGCCACCACGTCCCACTCTGCATTTGCCTTTTAAATCTTACAGGAAAATGGTAGGAGATTTCAGCATGTTTACTTTGGAAAGCCATAACCTTCAATTCATATGAGGCTTCAAACTGGAAAATTTATACTTTTCCATCACTTTTCTTTGATTCTCCATTTAAAGTAGGAATGACCTCTATACTTAAATACAGATATTATAAATAATGAAGGATTTTTATAGGCCAGGTGTGGTTAACAAGATTAAAGAAGGCTGCAACTTTTATAAATAGAATAATAGAATTGATATTTTCCCTTACTATGGGTCCACATGAGCTAATACTACACATTTTTTTAAATTTTAGAATAATTATTGTGATAGGAAATCAAGCTTAAAAATATGCTATGCATTAAAGTTTTGGAAGGTTACACAATTTTGGAATGCCATATATTCCTATATAATATTTTATTTAACATTTATGCTCTATAATACATAGAAACCAAACAAATTTATATGTTTCTATATTTTATTATCATTCATATTTAGAAATTCAATATGTAGATAAAATGGAAAGGGAAAATACACTGGTACTATACCACTATCACAGTAAAAAAAGAAAATTTACTACACTAATTAATCACTGTTAGAATTGTTATTGCATGTTTTAAAATCCTAATAAAATTCTAAACGTTTATACTTTTATTCTTCTTAGAACCTTATAAAACATCTTCCTGAGCAGAAGGTACTCAATGAATTGGCACAGTTTAAGAATGAATATGATGACCTTTGCGAACCTGAGCAGTTTGGAGTAGTGGTATGTATTAAGCACAAAAACCCACAAACTCAGGCCAGGGATGTACCTCAGCGGCACAGCACCTGCCTGGCAAGCACAAGGTCCTGAGTTTGATTCCTGGTACCAAAAGAAAAAAAAAAAAGCCCAAAAACTCAGCTGGGAGGTTAATATTTGTCAAAAACAAGTGAAAAGAAACACATTTCAGTTGTTGACTATTTTTTGTTACTGTATAATCACATAATTAAATATAATATTGTGAGAAAAAAATCTTTATTTACCTGGTATATTTGTCATGGTATTGAAAAATAGCTAAATTAAAATTTTCATTTGCAAAATAGCTCATTATATGTTCTCAAATCTTTATAACAGCATGGATGTTCAATTCTAGTAATATATACAAAGGTATATGCAGTATTGTATCAGATATTTCTTCTTCCATTTAGATCTTGATATTACATTTTGGCCCCCTAAAACCTATGCTAATATAAAAGGGTAATAACTCTATAAATATTAGGATAAACACTGGAGTCTCTTTTCTGTAATGTGTATTGTGTTTAACAGGACACAGGTATCTTCACACTTCTTGTTGAGTCATTCATTGATTAAAAGCATGAATTGTAGTATTTCTGCTATGAAAAATGTCTTACAGCTATGCCTTGTGCGGTTATATCATCATATGGTTAAATTAGTATTATTAGAGTGAATTATTTTTCCTTATCTCTCCACTATCAGTGATACAAAGGTGAGTAGGTATAAATTATATATTGGAGAGTATAGTTACATGTTTTAAGTATTCTGCAAGAATATTATTCAAATAATTGGCAAAACCAATGAGAAGAAACAGAGAATTGTGATATATATTTAATTTCTTGCAGAAAAAGTTATTTTTTATCTAGGTGTTCAATGCATGGTTGTTTGCTATATGAGTGAACATTTCCATTATGGTTGCTAGCTTTACTCTGACCTCATGAACATTTTTCATCAGCATACTAAGAATTTACAAATTACTATTAGACTTACTAGTCACACACTATTTCCTTATCCAAAATATTTTATCATTTTAGTACCTGTATTTTAGAAGTCACTGATTTGGTACTTTGCAGTTTAAAAATTCTGCTTATAATCAAACTGATAGATGGGACTGAGCATGTTTCTTTTGAACTTGTGCAATAAGTGCTATCCCATATTTAGAGTTCTTAAATTCTAAGACCTATATTGATCTAAAAGGGTTTTTTGTCAAGTGCTTGAGAATAAAACCAATCATGTGTATTTAGGAGCACTTAGAACATAGAGAGGTAACCTGTAAAATATATTTCTCTTATTTTTGAGAAAAGCAAATTAGTCAACTACATCTGCTAGTGATTATTTATTAACTAGTAGCACTTTAGTGCAATGTTAAATGACAAAATTTTATAGAGCAAAGTCCACCTTGAAATCTAAACTGCTTAGATTCATGTTGTAGTTGAAGTAGGAATATGTACCATCTTAAAATTCAGCTGTATCATGATAGTTATGAGTTTCACAGTAGGTACACTACATACTTTTTCTGAAGCTGTTTTTTTCTGAATGCAGTTTATCTTGGAAGATGCATTAGTTTGCCAAGCAAGTCCTTCAAGAGGAATATCCGTGTATCATACTGAGGAAATGAAGTTTAGGGACATAAAAAGCAATATACCTTCTGAACTAAAGGCAAAACAGAAAGTGGAAGATATTTCTTGTTTATGCACACAACCGTAAATAATTCTGGGGCTGTGTGTATATGCATTCACCTAGGCCTCTTATTTACTCTTATATACTTAGATGTATATCTGAGGTTGAGGGAATATCAAAGCTATTACAAAGCAGTTTATACTGTGTAAATTATCTAAAACTTTATCAATCAGGATTTGTCAAACAAAGTTTAGATAATCTCACCTTAAGGAAAATACCTTTGGGTCAATCGTATATCTTAGTCTTTTAAGCATTTATGCTTTGTTGTGGTAAGAAAATTATCTTGTATAAAGTAGACAGTAACTAAATATTTAATTGAATTACAGGATAGTTATGAAGTGTAAGACAGGTTAAAAAATGGCATAGTTTGGAGCTCTAAAAGGTTTGCTAACACATTGCAAAATTAAATTACTTCTGTATGAGTATATGTAAATATTTTTAACCTTTAAACATATATTGATAGTCTATTATGAGTACAATGTTAGAAATACCTAGATTTATCTGCACAAATGACAGGGACTCCAAGCTGGAGAGACTTCTCCCCTCTACTTTCTTCTCCCTTTGACATTATGAATGTATTCTTTTTAAAAGTCTGTCTTTATCATATGAATTCTGTATCCAAATCCTTTACTGGCTCTCTGCATTTATAGGATAAAACTCAAGGTCTTATACATTCTCATTCTACCTCTAATTTCTTGTCCAACCAGAACCTGCAATATCTCGCCTACCTACAGAGTTATCTGTGGCTATGTCTTTTGCTTTGTGATTGTTTTAGATAGGTCTCCTTGTGCTGCCCAGGCTGATCTCAAATTCATGCGATCAAAGGATTGTCCTGTGTCCACCTCTGGAGTAGCCAGAGATACAAGTGTGGCCACCACCATACCAGGCTTTATGATTTTTGTCCCAGTGTTGAGGACAGAACCCAGAGTTTAGTATATGCTAGGCAAATACTGTACCACTGACCAATATCCCTAGCACCATATCTTTTATCAACTGATTCTTCGTCAAATCTCAGAGAAAGATATGCCCAATTATTATTACTAATTTTATTATCACTTTATTTATTGATAGAAACAAAAATATAATGAACTACCATGTCATATTCTATGCTAAATACTTCTGTTTCGCACCATCATAGGCATTGCGGAGAACCTAGTGAGGTTGGCATTATTACTAGCTCCATATTAGAGATTAAGAAACTGAGGCAACAAAGGAAGGCCACCTAATGTGTTCAAGGTTGCATAGTAATTAGGAGATGCAGAATCCAAAGGTGGCTGGTCTGAATTCCTAGCCAGTACTTTAGCTACTGTGTTTGAATGGTAAGGGGCGGGGCAGGTTCCACTCCATGCTAATTTACCTCTTTTAGGGTATTATTATCCCCACCCTATTTTAGGGCAGCAGTACTTCCTGGCAGCTTTACTTTATTCTGTTAGTTATTCTATGACCTCTTCAGTCTGCACTCTGCTATTCTCTTCAGAAAGATACAGGAAACACCAAGTCACTTGAGATTAATTAGTTAATTTATAGATAGATGGATGCATCACTATCTATTCATCATTGACCCTGAGGACCCTGCTGGCTATTGCCCTGCGTTTCCTAGCATCGGTTTTCTCGAGGCTTAGTCTCCATTTGCTCTCTGTTTCTGTACTTGTTCACTGTTCAACCAGCAGCAATCAGTGTTCTGCCTTAAATAATATATCAACATTGATCTAGGAAAGGTCATTAATTACCTCCTGATCACATTTAAAGTATACATCAAATCTACTCACTTTTCTCCGCTTGAACTGCTGCTACCTTTTACTCCAAGCTGACCCGACCATTCTCTAACCATTCCAGTAGCTTGTTTTTCCCACTTATACTTTGGCTCTTCTTCAAATCAGCCTCAGCCCCATCCTCGGTGTGACATTTCGATAGTAAATTTTGTATTGTAGCATATTTCGCTGCTTAAGGCATCAGTGCTATCCTGTAGTCCCAAAGCCTTACCATCACCTACAACGCACCATGACCTTACACCTGCCCATCTTTGGTACTTGGTCTCTTGCTTGGTCCCAATGTGCATCATTTTTAAGACACCTGAATTCACTGTGCTGGTTCCTGCCTTGGGAGCATTGCTCACTCTGTGCCTTTTTTCCTCATTGTTCAAGTATTAGCTTAAATTTTTGCTTTCTTAGTGAAGCCATGTCATATATTCACTAAATGTAGAACTCTCTGTCAGAATCTCAGAGAACACATTTTAAATTTTCCATTCTAGAAATTAGCATGATTTTTAATTGTTTGTCTGTGAGGTTACTTACTGAAAATCTATTACCCCCTAGATGATAAGTTCCATAGGTGCATGAATGATGTCAACTGTGTTCCCATCATGTGCCTAACAAATTTTTGTTGTGTTATGAATGCAAAACCAAGTAGACTCTTTTCATTCCTCTTAGTCTGTATCCATATGGTACTTAGTAACACTAAAGAATTTCAACTCCTTTCTAGCAACTTCTCTTCTATTCCTTTTTTTTGAGACAGGTTTCGCTGTGTAGCCAAGCTGGCCTAAAACTCCTAATGATCTTCCTGCCTCAGCCTCTGGAGTGCTGTGATTCCGCACGTGGACAACCACACCAGGGAATCTCTTCCACTGAATTTTTTTTTTTTTTTTTTTTTTGTTTTTTTGAGACAGGGTCTCGCTATGCTGTTGAGGCTCATGGTGAGCTCACTTTGTAGCTCAGACTGGCCTCGAACTCACAACGATCCTCCTGCCTCTGCCTCCTCAATTCTGGGATTACAGGCATGAACCACCACACGGGGCTTCTGTTGACTTATTAAACAATAAGTAATCTTTGCTGAGTTTATTCCTGTAGCCCTGGCCGTAGAGTTTCCACAACATGTTACTTCCTAAATGCTAAAAACAAAATCTCAACAAGCAGTAGCTGACATATGCCAGATGAGATTATTCCTACAAGATCGATGAAAATACACATGATAACCATAAAGAATGAAGTTGGCAAAACTTATCTAAGACAGTGATGGGGCTACTAAGCTTTCTCTAACCTTTTGGTTTTATAGCAGTTTCTTCTTTGGGTTTGCCTAGAATAACATGCAATTAGTTTGGGAAAGAAAAAGAAAAGAAACAAATTATGATATCTACATAGAAACCTAGAGCCCTTTCCCATGTCTAGATGCAGACCTGCTGGTGAGAGGGATATGCCAGTTCCCATACCTTCTGTGATCAATAATCCGCTTCTATAGGGGGGTAGATTGTCTGCATAGCTTCCCACTGACTTGTCTTCCAACCTGCCTCCCACGGAATTGAATTTGGAACATCG